CATCAAAAAGAGGCATCGAATTATTGAAAACACCTCGCCTGAATAAGGTAATTGCCTCCTTAATATGGAAAATCAAAGAGCAATTTTCAATGTAATGTTTAGGGTATGGCATTTTCTCTCTATGAAAGGCAATACCTTGGAATTCATGGTCTTCTCCCACCCGCTTTTATGACTGAGGAGCAGCAAGCCTACAGGGTTATGGCGAAACTTCGCGAGCAGCCTGATGATTTGGCTAGGTGAGCATATATCTTTTGCAAGAGTTTAGCGGAGAGTGAGGGATAGAGTGAGTGTTGGGAAGATTGTCTAGGTTTCCGATTAACCAACTGTAGACTATTGAAATAGAAGCGATTATCTGGAAAGTTTCGTTCATTTTTAAACACTGATTGAGAACATCAAATTGCGTCCATACATCACGGAGGTCTTAGCGAAAGATCTTGTGAAGCCGAGCTCTGCTTTAATCAACACAACTGTTCAAATACTACTTGAATCCATCAAATGACTATAGGCAGTTTTCGTTAAATGTCCATACAGCAAAATTAATGCCTGTGGGTGTCCTATGCCATTAGCCCTTTTATGGTGCTCGACTACCTCGAAAACACCATTAATTATCGGCTTAATGCTATAATCTTATAGAAAGTAACAGCATTTTAGTGCCGTTACTTTCTATAAGGGTAGAGTAATGCAATGTAGGGATTCGCATGAAGAACAACTGTTACAGCTACGGAACTACAGAGTTTACTTAAGACTATTTAACTACAGTACGCCAAAGAGCGGAAAACTTCAGATCTCTTTGAACAATCAGCAACGTAACTATAGAAAAATAATTGTGGAAAAATAATTGTAGGATGCTACGCCTTCAATTATGGGGGAGCTATCATAGCCTAAAAACCAAAAGAAAGAACCCGCTTCGAATTTCCTTTTTTCTGACAGTAGTTCTCTACGCTGAAATTGGTGGTGCAGGTTTTCTAATAAACGGGTCCTAAGAAGTCTACCTAATCAATCAAGTAACATCGGGTCCATATGCTCCGACCAAATAGATCAAATCCAGTCATTTCACCGCTGTTTTTTCCTCTGTTTTGCTTCTTTCCACGCTATTCATGATATATTTGCTGTTTTCTAGCAAATGGAGCCTTCATGCATACAAACGTCAGATGTGTAGTGAGCACGCAGGAGCTCTCTATGGCGAGGTCTCTCATGCAAATGCACTCGCTATACATATCTCTCTTTAAGCGGCTATTTGCTAAACATAGGAAGCCAAAAAATCTGTAAATTTTGTCTGCTCTACTCCCTTTGGGCCGGTTAAGAAGCTTAGACTTAAATATTCCAAAAAAAAAAACTTATAAAACATCGTGATAG